ACAAACCCGTTTTGTTACGGGAATTACAAGAGGATTCCTACTGTGCTACCATTTTACAGGGTTTACAAACTGACCCTATTAAATGGAACCTATGGAGACAGAAAGACGGTTTGCTATTCTTCCGCAACCGCATCGTCCTTCCAGCGACGTCCTCCATTATTCCTCACTTGTTGCATGATCTCCACTCGTCCGTCCAAGGAGGCCATTCCGGGTTCATGGGTACTCTGCAACGTATCAGCCACAACTTCACCTGGAGAGGCATGCGAAAAACAATACGTGAGTTTGTTGCTCACTGTGAAATATGCCAAAAAATAAAACCCCCTAACCATGCTCCATATGGGTTATTACAACCCCTTACCCCACCAGCAGACTCTTGGACTGATTTAAGTATGGATTTTATTACACACCTGCCACCATCTCATGGCTTCACTGCCATTTTAGTCATTGTCGACCGCTTCTCCAAGGGTGCGCACTTTGCTGCTTTGCCACCACGATATACTGCTTCTCCTGAAGATTGCTCTTGGGAAGATGCAAACCTCCTTTGTCATAATGACCACCCTCCCTTACTACCCTTCGACAGTCAGCAAGCACACTCCCCACAAACTGATCCTATACCCACACCCACTCACATAACACAACACCACTTCCCACACCCACTTAATGCCCCACCAACAAAACACAACCCTCCAGACAACTTTCCCGTGTCCCAACATCTACCCACTCAACCACTCTCTGCACCCCATTTAATTACCCATCCCATCAATCCCTCTCTTCCTATTGGACCGCTTATTCCACCTTTACTAACTAGTGGATTGCCAGCTCACATCCTTGAGGACAAGGATATTTTTCAATAGCAAGGGGCTGTAACGGACCATGTAGCAGACCCTACTGCTAAGCCCAGCCCAACTCGTGGCATAGAAGGGAAGCCCAAACGCAAGCATCAATTACCCAGCTATCTGAAAGACTATGATACAAGCTAAAGCCATGCTGGGCTTTTAAATAACACTGGTGTTACAATGTCACATTAAGGCTTTATTTTCATGTTTGTGTTTTTACATTTAAACTGATATCCCAATAGTAATAGGGCACTATATGTTGCATCAAGAGTGAGTAATAGTTAAGCAGAATTAATCATCTCTCTTCTACTCTTTCTCTTTCTCTCTCTGATTCTTATCTCTTACTTCTGTCAACCGCATCTGAGTGCTACAATCATAAAAATATTTGAAATACAATACAAAATTAATATACAAAAAATTGAAAGAAATCTATTACAGAAATTAATATCACTTCACTTACTCTTACTCTATGTGTTTTCATATTGTTAAACTCATCTATAATTGAATCCGTGCTAAAACTCAACAATTTTTTTTCAATATATGTAATTAAAGAATCATCAAGACAATTGGTCTTCCATTCTATTTCGAACCCTGGTCTTGATTATCTTCATAGCTGAGAAAGATCTTTCAGTAGTTGCTGTAGAAACTGAAAGAGTGAGTACAAATCTAATCACTCTATTAATAAGAGGGTAAATGATGGACTTTCCAGTTCTTGCTAGCCCTTGACATAATTCAGATGTAGTTGATAAATTAATCAAATATGGGTGTTTAGGAATGTCAAGCTCAAAATGTTGTAACTCCATTTTCGAAAGGTGAAGTCAGGAAAATGATGATGGAGAGGGGAATTAAGAGAAACCCATTTTTGTTACAATACCTATACCCAAAAAAATCGAAAGGTGGAAGTTGGACAGAACACAACTCTGGAAATTGATTCTGCCCGACTCTAGAATTTACACAGCCAAAATCGAAAGGCTGAAGAAGGAGGTTGCCTGGTTGCCATTGGTGATGGACAGAACACGGAAAGAAGGATATTCTCAAGGATGATCTGGTTGCCTGGTTGTCGTTCTGAGAGTCTGCAAGAGTGTAGGCAGAAACATGGGGAACTGAAGGCAAAAACGTGTATAACACAGTAGTTTCAGCGTCACATTTTTTTACACATATTATAATTATTATTTTTTCCAAATTTTAGGGGGTGCGGGAGCCCACCTTAGCCCCCTAGTGGGTTCGCCCCTGCCGGTCATACTTAGTGTAGTTTGCAAGAGTTTGTAACTAAAAAATTTAAAAATATAACCAACCTTTCCCTTTCCAAATATAGGTAATAATTAATATAATTAATGTCTTTCTGATTTTCTAGAAACTAACAAATAATATAAAATAATTTTTTCTCTGAAATAATTGATATTTTAAAACGTATAGAATATATTTTTATAAGATCACTAGGAGTTTTAAGAATAAATTAATCACCCTTTAAGGAAATCCTTTGCCTTCTAATAAGATTTGATGGTACTCCAAAAATGTTAGGTACAAAGCTTTGTTTGTTGCAGGCTCAAATTATTTTACAGTTGGGGGTATTTATCAAAAGACCTTTTGAATTCACATAATTCCTTGAAGACCGGAATTTAATTTAGGAGAGGGATTATTGGAATATAGAGGACAAAACAGCTATTAGATTATTGAGCTGTGGTAAGTGGATAAAGAGTGGTTATCATAAAGGGCGAATCAAAATTGAACTTAAAATAAGGAGAAAAGATATCTTAAGTAAAACCTATCCTCCCAGGATTTGCTGCTGAAAATTTAGAAGGGTTATTTTCTGTTTGTGCATTTCTTTAATGGTTTGCATTTGTCACTTAACATAACACAACAAACTTCCTTACACACACAATATTTTGTGGGGTTCACATGTTTTTTGAAAAAAAAAAAAACTACGACACACAAAATGAATCTCTATAACATTACACAATCATCTTTCTTACAATATAACTCTTATAAAACTCTTTCTTTAAAGTCTTAATGAAAAAGCCCTACACTAATCACAATCCCTTTACGACAAATAAATCTTGCACTGTAGGACACAGAATTTTAATACCGATCCATCAATGTGGGACACGAGTTAGAAAAAAGTGAACGTATCAAGCCAAAACTAATAAATGATAAATGTGAATAAATGAATTTTTAACATCGAAATGGGCATCCAACGAACGGATAAGTTAGATATCTTGAAATATGAAAATATTAAGCGATTAAGGATTTGGGTACGTTATATTAAATTTTGTGTTAAATTTTTACTTATATTAAAAAAGAATTCTTTTTTCTGTAATTACTGTAGATAAGTTATCTGCAGTAAGTTCAATACAACGTTGTTTTGGAACAAAAATTATGGTATTTTTGTAATTTTAATTTATTTCAGTTATTATAGTCTTTATAATTATAATTTTTTAATATTTCAATTCCAAAACGACGTCGTTTTGGAAGTAAATGCAGATAACTTATCTGCATTAACTGCAGAAATATTTTTTTATTAAAAAAAATATGCTTTTGAAGTGAATTCATATTTAAAATAAATTAAATATTAAAATAGTATTTTTTTTATTTTAAAACTATAATATACTTTAAATCAAATTAAAGATAAATATATAATTACTTGTTCACCTTTCACTTTACAGGGCTATGTTTCCGAATGTAATGGAGAGATATTTGGTAGAAGGAAAATTTTTAAAAAAGTGAAATTGAGAATTCAATTTATCCACGTTTGACACGAGGATTAAAATTTTTTCTCTCGAATATCATATTTTCAGAATTCATATTTATAAAGAAAAATTTTATCTTAAAATACCATCAAATGGGTGGTATTTTGAAAATTACATGTGATGAGAATTTTGATAAATTTTTTGGGACATAATTAACCTCACTCCACATTTCTAACAATATTTTATAATCAATCAAATATACCATCAATAAAAATAACCCAATATTTTCATTAATATTTTAGCCTACCAAATAATTTTTTGTTAACATTTTCAGAAAACTTATTTTTCAACCATATTTCCGGAATCATAATTTTTGGATAAAAAAGTTTCTCCAATTGCTTGGCTTGAGCTGAAGTGTAGGCTGTTGAAAGATCCATCTTGACCAAATGCCAAAATGAAATATAAATCTAGAGACGTATGAGAGAAACATGTTGATATTTGAAAAAAAGATAATACAAAAATTCTATAATTTTTTTTATTAAAAAAAAAATCAAATCTTGTTCTATTACTTATTATTATTTACGTTTCCAAAATTTTCAGTGAAAACTGAAAATACAGAGTCACTAAATGAATTTCTTATTTACAAGAAAGAAGTTTTATGATGCTTGTAATTACTATACATTAACTTACCAGTTACCACTCGTATTATGTATGAAATAAAATAAAGTTTTAATTTTAGTTTTTTAAGTGTATTATCTACATGATAATTAATATAAATTAAAAAATTGTAATTGAAATTTTAAAATTAAATAATTATGTCCCCATTTATTAATATACTAAATATTTGAATTAATTTTAAAGTTAAAAATAAGAATAATCAATTCTGATAAGTAATTAAATCAATTGAATAAAGCAATAATTAATTCAATTTGGCAATTGATAAGAAAACAATTAAGTGTTGGCTTAGATTACCAAAAAAATAAAATAAGTGTTGGCTTTAAGAAGGGTAGGTACCAAAAAATATTACTTGCCGAATGTTAGGCCACCAATGAGAGTCAATAACAAGGGTAGGTACCTTCATAAAGACACTTGCGTGTTTCAATTGACACCTTTATCTTTTGTTGTATTTGGTTGGGGTTTAGGAATGAATTCAATCCGAAAGATACTTTAAATATACTCTTAATCAGGTGATAACAATTTTCATTTGAAAACAAAAGTAGGCTTAACCATTAACATAATAATCAGCTTAGCAAGTAGTTAGAATGAGTGAAAACGATTGATAGTTTCCACTTCCATTTTTTACCCATAAGAAGTTTTTTTTTTTTATATACTTTTTAGAGGAAGAAAATTTATATTACAGACAGACAGAGCATTGAAAACAAATTTGCCTTATGTATAGGACATTTAGATAGAAGAATGCATGGAAGAGCAACTTCTATCCAAGAAAAAAGAAGCTTATAAATATTTTTTGATGCTACTATTGTTGCCCCTCATATCCTTGCCAAGCCCAAACTATTTCATTTAGACAAGGCTTGAAGTACTGGTCCCAGACTTTCCTATATTCCACTGTGTCTCCAGCAATTTTCCTCACCTCAACAATATGAAAGGAACATGTAACTTCAAAAATTTCAGCTTCTATACTGAGTTGGCTTTTTAGCCCTGTCTTGCTTCCTTCCAAACTAATAATTCCATTTTTCTTCATGACCTTAAATCTACCATCTATCTGTGCTATCTCTTCAAGTTTTGACACTACCATTGAAGGTGGTTTTTTGGTAGTGAATCTTGCTTCCTGTCTTTCACTCTTATCTTTCTCAAAAAGACCAGAAAGATCAAGTCCTGAAGAGAGTGATATGAGATCAAATGCATTGAAACAATATGGCTTCATGGGGCTTTCTTCTTCATTTAATGTTGAGCTATCACCATCTGAATTTGATGAAGCAAATGCAGCCTGAACATCCAAGATAATCTCAGCATTTTTTGTAGGGGATAAGGGTGGTGCTTCAATCTGCTCATACCCCTTTCTAAACCAATTGCTCTGCATGATCTTGGTCATATTAATTCTTGTCCTTGGATTGGAATCAAGGATTCTATAGAGAAGCCTTTTCACATCTGAACGAAACCATTGTGGGAACTTGAAATCTGCTTGGGAAATCTTCCTATACATTACCATTAGATTTTTATCATTGAAAGGAAGATAACCTGCCAATAGAACATAGAGAATGACCCCACAAGACCAAATATCAGCTTTGGCTCCATCATAGCCTTTCTTCTTGATAACCTCAGGGGCCACATAAGCTGGAGTACCACAAGTTGTGTGAAGAAGGCCATCATTGTTCCTTGTTTCCACCAATACACTCAAACCAAAGTCTGAAACTTTGAGGTCCCCATTTTCATCAAGGAGAAGGTTCTCAGGTTTGAGGTCACGGTGATAAACCCCTCTAGTGTGGCAATAACCAACAGCATCAATCAACTGTTGGAAATATTTTCTTGCCACATCTTCACTCATCTTCCCTCGGGACACTTTGTCAAAAAGCTCACCACCTTTCACGTATTCCATTGCAAAATATATCTTTGTTTTGCTTGCCATGACCTCATAGAGCTGCACAATGTTGGGGTGTCTCACAAGGCGCATGATTGAGATTTCACGCTTAATTTGCTCCATCAAACCAACCCTCATGATCATCTCTTTGTTGAATACTTTGATGGCAACGCTCTGTCCTGTCTTCAAGTTCCTTCCATGGTAAACCTTGGCGAAGTTTCCTTGGCCAAGCATACGGCCAAGTTCATACCTTTGCATCAGAATTGTTGCTTTGTTATCCATTTCTTCTCCTATGCACACAAGATTCCCTTCCTCTTATGCTCTACATTTTCTTAATGGGCACTTTGAAAACCGAGAGGAGCAAGTAAAACATGAAGGCTTGGGAAGTTGAGCCATGGAACCTCGTGCCCTTTGGCAGGGTTGAGGGCTAATCTTCTTGGAATGGAAACAAAGATAAAGGCTTGCCATAAACGAACGGTTATCCCTTGGGAGAGGAATTTAAGCTAACAGAACACCAAATCAAGACCCAATTGTGTAAAAATAGTCAAGTTTAGATAAATACCCGCAATGGCTGTTATTGTGTGTAGAAGTAGAAATCTATGCGATTGAATATCATTGTTATTCCGTTTGACTGCCCCCTCTTAAGTTTAGCAAATAATATATAGGGTTTATAATTCTCGTTCAAAATGAGAATTAAAATTTTTCTACACACCCTTCGATTTTCGTGCTCACATGAGTCCTACATATAATTTTTTCTAATATATGGGTCCCACATGCTTTTTATTTCTACAACATGAGAATTGAATTCTCATTCAACATGAGCTTAAGTATATGGCTATTATTGTGTTTGTGATCTAGTTTTAGATGCTTGTGCAGTTTAGGGACATGACAGAATTTACTAAAAAAAAAAATTACTCTTTGAAAGCAACAAGTTGCGGACAATAGAGCAAGTTTATCACTTCAACATATAGTTACTAGTTTTTTTTTTCTACTCTTCTTACCTTCCACTGATAGTCCCATTCTTTCTTCTTCAAATGGCAAACTTGAAAACTCAGTAGTTTCAGATCGTACCTCCAAACCCACCTCAAAACATAGGCCACATAATTGGAGTTTAAGTATATAATCATAGATCCTAGGTTTGTTCAACTGTTAACGAATAATGTGTTTTTCATGTCCTCGTTTAGAGGACTGCCCTCCTAGGATCCAGCTAAAGCACAATTAACAGCTCGACGTAATCACTGAGATGTCACACATTCAATTCTAGTAGTAAATTTTTTTTTATAAATCATATGTATCCTCTACGAGAGGCAATCCTGTTCGAGACAAGTCTAAAATAAAAATTTTAAATCTCTCCCAAAGATGATATTGCTGAGGGTCGAACACATGCTCTCACCTCCACCTGTTCATCTTCCATGCGTCAACTAAGATACCATCATTTTTAGTAGTAGTTTTAAGTTGACGGAGGGATAACATTAAACCCTATTTGAAACACAACTATGAAATTGAAATATTGAGTGTAAGGTTAGGGAATAGGATCACACTACATTTTGATTAAAAGATGAGCGGCATTAAAAATTTGAGAGTATAATATAGCCTTCGTGTATTTAATGTGTTGCCTTAAATTCTTCACATCAACATCATTTAACGGTAAGGAAACTTATGACGGGAGATAAAATTGTGCCAAGCACCACAAAAAAACATGGTTTTAGCCTTCTTTTATTTCTTCCCAAAAATCTCTCTTTTATTAAGGGTTACCTGTTAGTATTACAGCATTATCAGGAAAACTAGATCAGAGTTAGCCATAACAAAAAACCCTTATTGAGCTTGTTATGATTGTTCAACCAAATTGCAAATTTATTAATAAAATATATTGATGCAAAAATTATGATGCTGATATAAATGCCACCGGGGTCCATATCGGCACAACCACAAAGCCTATGTACACGTAGCTAACAATCCACTAGCACAATGATATCAACTATTGTCTGTAGGTTTGCATTAAGTGCCAACAAAAAATTATACCGCAGACTCGTACATTGTTAAAAGACACCAAACATTACAATCAACCTCTTCCTAAACCGCCTCTGAAGGGGAATGGAATATGTTAAAGCAATGCAACTTAAATCAGGAATAACCTTATTGGATATTCCATGAGTTACTCAGGTAACCTATCAGCTCAAGTACAAAAAAAAATTCAACTGGGTCCCTCAGGGCTATGCAATATATCAGTATATTATGAACCATCAAAGTTGAATGCTAAAGAAATTCCTGTTACGTGCTTAGACAGCTTCACTAATCACACCCCCTCACAGAAAAAAAAAACAAACAAAAAAACTCAATCCCTGCCTGTTAACCAATTTGCTATAAGTGCACGTCTCATATTCTCAATTCTTAAGCAACACTGTGCTTCAGGTCTTGTCGCTCTCACTAAAGGATTTGTACTCAGTATTTACTGCTGCTGCTCATATATCTGCATATAAGTTTCTGAAAGTGCAACCAAATGAGGAAGTGTTTCCGACACATGTAAATCCTGCATCTCATACCTAAAAATAAATCAAGGCGTTAGCCCTGGTCAGTGGTCATTATTAAACATCCATTCACATTGATGCATTTCTATCTTATCAAGAAATAGAATTTACCATAGTTCTTCTGATTTGCGTTGCACAAATACCCTATAGAATCCTTCACCAGGTTTGCCATCATGAACAACATTGGCAATTAAATCATATTTAGATCGCAATCTCTCATTTTCTTTTGGTGTTGGCAAGGGAATGTAATCCTTCAATTCCAGGTTCTTCACAGGAAAGTTGACTGAAACAAATATTGACTGGTTAGGGCGAACTTAGAAATAAGCATGCTGATATCAACTTGATTAAATTACAGCTAATTTCAACATATATTCTCACCTAATGTAGGATTCTTTTCAACAAAAAAATTATTCTTAGTAAATCGACGCATGTGTAGAATCAGATACTTGGGCAATCTGGTAACGCGATACTGCATCCTTGCTGTATGAGGACGGACCACCTCAGTGACAGTCTCACCATCAAACTTCTTTAGTATGTTGAAGAGTGGAACCTAGAAACCAAAACTTATTAGCAGGCAAGAGCGGAGAGAATGACAGCACTTTCAAAATAAAAGCTAAACTCACATCAGTCCATGAAGACTGAAAAAACAAAACTAGGAAGTGCATGACTAGAATTGCAAAATGAACTAATTATCCTTGCTTCAGTGGAAATTCTAACATTTTTTCTAAAGCTTTTACCTCATGGCATTTTCCAGGCAGAGGATTTAAACAAAATATCTACTGAGACAATGCTAATGTCACAGGGATTTGGAAAAATATTGTGGATGTGCATTTTAAATTCATAAATATTGAGCAATGAGAATGTAAAAATGTGATTACTCCCACATAAGAGATAGCACTGGTTCCAGGGAAAGTCATCAACCCCATGGTATTTATGGAAATTTGAAATGAATACATCAACAAACCCTATAAGAAAATAGAAATTTTAACTGCAAACAGATGCACAGGTATTCTGTGACAGAAATTTTAGTGTACAAAATTGCCTCCAAGTAGTTTGTCTCCCCAGTTATTTTACAGAGTTTAACAAAATGCTTGGGAGGCATCTTTCCACATGAGAACGCCAATGGCTACGACATTGCTATATCCTTATAGTGGAGTTGCTAACGGGAAGTAGGGAGCTCAAGTTGATAAGAATCAGACGAAGTGGAGATCAACCAAACAAAGATACTCCCATGTCAAGGCATTTTATTGGATACTAAGTCACTACCCATCTTGGAACATGTTTACTCATGGATGCGTACTGCAAACTTCCACTTCACTTTAAAAGCAACAAAGAATACATTTATGATAGCAAATAACGAGATAAATATTTTTATACAGGCTAAACCAAAATGCATTAAATGATGGAGAAGAACGTTTATTTTATTGAAATTGGCTGCTAATTCCACAAAATGTTGGAAAAATGTGATTCATATTACTCTCTACACTCCCTCATACAAGTTATGGACAATATTCCTTTCCTTAAAAGTGTCAGGAATTTGCTTGTGTCATGGACCACAAAATGTCTTATGTTCACTTTTTAACAGGAACGTTTTCTTCTAAACAATCAATTAATTGCCAAATTAGAAAGATTATCATCAAGACAAATAGGAATAGATAATTCACAATTGAACAGCTATTAGTAACTCTCAGAATGAGTTAAAGAGGATAATACTCATCGTCAATGCTTTAGATCAGTCATTCATGTCACTAAATTAAATATATAGTGTATGAAACAATGAATATGTGCTAATAGGTGAGATAGTAAAATAGCAGCCAAGATGTACCATTTAGCATACAAAACAACCATAATCAAAATATCTACTTGAAAAGTTAGGATAAGACATGATGAGAAAACAAGAGAAAAGTTCACTACAAAGGATGCATGATACATAAGCATAATCTGCATGCATCATAAACTACTTGTTTTTGTTTTTAGATAATGGTTATATTATAAGTGACATTAAGTTACCATTCTTTGTGTCATAGCATCTTTACGGACATTTATATCCACAATTGTCATAAATTTATAAATGTCTCTCAGATATAACAGTTACAGCCAAAAATAACAAGATCCAAGCTTCAGATTTGGATCATCTCAATGTAAATTATATGGACTACAGCATTTCATTTGCAGCAAGTAACATTAAGTGAAGTAGTACCTGAGGTATTATATTTTTCTCCATGACATCCTTGAAAAGTGGTGGTGGCGGCAAGTCCAACCCTAACATCAGAAATGGCATTTTCGAAGTTTCTTTGACAAATGCATATCTCTCAGTTCCCCCATCTGAAAGTTTATCAGTGTTGTTTTGGTTCTCATTGTTTTCTTTCTTATCAGTGATTACTTTGTTAGGAATCTCTTTTACAACCTCAAGTTCGCCCTGCAAGCACAGTAAATTAAACAACAGATACAACTTAAGTGGATAGTTGCAGCCAGTAACAATATATCAACCAAAAGAAAAGAGAAGAAACTTAGAGTGGATACGAAAGAACCTGAAAACACTCATAAATTATGCTGATATTCTTCTTTGAAGATTTAAGATCTGCATGTAGCGTGTTAAGAAGCCACGACATGAACTCAACTGGGTCAGATTGTGCCCCTATCCGAAAACGTTTTTTACTGGCTTTCATCACTGCTTGCAGAAACTCATGTGGACTGACCTGTTGACACAGGACTTGAAATATAAGCCGCCAAATTATAAAAATAATAGATTTTCAATGACTGTGTCAGAAACAAACCTGTCCTTTAAAGTTCCGTGCATGCCAGATCTTCCTAGTGAGTTCACCAAATCGATGAACAAGTGGGGATTTGCAGTGTTGGTAGTTTTCAGGGATAAGGAAAAAATTCCTCAAGGGGGTAACTCTCATTAAGGATTGAATTGTTACATTCACAAAATCAGTCTCCTTGATATTATTAAGTCCCACCTGAAAAAATCATCGTATAATGGGTAAATATAAGCCATTATACATCTACCAATCAAATATATGTAAAATTCCATTTTTATGAGCAAGAAGAAGAAATATACCATTCCAGGAAGGTAACTCGAACCATCAAGTGCTCTAGACCACTGCTTATTTTTGTCAAGTTGTTCAACTTCTTTTCCAGTAAACCTGCAGATATAGAACCATATGAATACATTTAGATGTATTCTAAAAAAAGAATTCTATGTAATGACAAGGTAAAGTGAGGATGGAATCACAAACGATAACCATTTAATAGAGAGAGAAAAAAAACTTAATTAATGGTAGAACTTTAAAGATTTCAATGCAATTCTGAATTAGGGAAAAACTGAGGTTTGATCTATGAAGTTGAAAGCAAGTGACCAATGAGCATCAAACAGCAAACATGTTACAAGCAGTTTGGCACATTTACAGGCAGAACAAAAAAAAAGGGCATAACGAAGCTAAGTAGGGAACTGAATACATTGAGCAATAAATTATGACATGCATGCAATGCAATGACCAAACACAGCACCTATAAAATTAAATGTTCGAGTCAATTTAATATACAATGAAAAGAAAGATTAACTTTAATGACCGAATAAACAACCATAAAATGATTATTCCTCATGTGAAACATTTTTTTTGGGTACATAAAATGGGATTGCAATGTTTGCCTGAACAGCAGGGGTGACACCCTACCTACCAGTCCTAGATAACTTTTCGACTCACCACCAGCCCTACCTACCACAGAGTGGATGGGATATGTTTAACACGGCCGAGGATCCAGTTTCATGCCTATTGAAAAAGTGTCCAAGTCAAGGGTCCAACTCCAACCCAAGAACCCACAAACTTTCAGGAAGGTGACTACTTCAACCACAACCATTGGTGAAAACACTTATTTGATTTTGCAAGGTCCATACCTTGAATTTTAAACTTCCAGAATGGATAAAAATCTCTCTCTCTCTCTCTCTCCCTCCCTCTCTTTCTCTTTTAGGATACAAATGGATATAACTCTCTAAACAGGCAATAGCAGATGACATATATTAAACAAAAGATGAAAATGTTAAAGGAGTCACCAGCCAATAATATTAGAAATGGAAATATGTTCCTAAAATTTTTTCTACAACAACAGCAAGCATAGCCAAAATAAACAAATTAGACCGACCTTGGGTTTAAGACATGCCGAATGTCATCTAATGAAGGATCATTAATTTCATAACCATCTGGAAGACAGTAGACTTTTTCAGTCCGGAGATTGATATAAACATGGTGTCCTGCTTCCAGGCTATGTGTATAGGCATGAGACTTCTTCCCCCTCCCTTGGTAATACTTCCCGCAAACCAAGCAAGCATACACATTTAAATTTGACAGAGAAACAGAACAGAACTTCTCAAAGTCAAAATCCAAAACCTGCACACACAACATCATCACAATGCAAATATGTACGCAAAGAAACAAAATTAATGTCCACAATGCACGAGATGATAAGTCAAATACCTGTCTATTAACAGTATCAAGATAAGGACAGTCCTTTCGAACCTCAACCTGGCGACTGTTTCTTCCACCAAATAGTTGTTCACGTGAATCATCACTATCATCATCCTCTTCATATCCATGCCCATTATGCTGGGACCCATCATTCCTCCGCTCACCAATAGTACCCCTTCCCCTTCTATAATAATCTTCTTCCTCATCAATGTCAGCATAATTATTGGCCAACCCAGAAAGAGGATTTGCAACAGAGACAGGAGGAGGAGAGGGGGAAGAATCCTCATCCAGCCTTTGCCTTTTCGACTCAAAATCAAGCCCTTCCTCCTCTACCTTATTACCACCACTTTCCCTTTCCCTTTTTGATGCCATGATCTCCCCTCAACCACTTTCTAATCAATACCAGAGGAAAATAAAGACACTAAGATTCAAATCACCTTCAAATAAAAAAATAAAAATCAGATAGATGAACGAAATGACAACAAAAAGGTTAATTTTTCTAATTTCTAACAAAAGGGTCTAAAAGGGATGGTTAAACAAGCAAAAATATGTCTTGGCTACAAACAGATGAATAATACTCAAAATGCTAAGATAAATGCATTGTTAGGAGTATGAATACCTGGTCGTTGACACACTAACCATTAATCAAGATTAGGCTTGTGAGCGCCAAGGATACACTGAGCTGCGACCTTCACTGAAGAGAGAGAAAGAGAATCAAACACTTGTTGTTATGGTTTGGGTTTGGGAGAAGAAATAGTGAACCCTGAAGTGAGCCAGAGACATTGATGAGGAAGACGATAGAATGAGAAGAAGTAATTGTGTAAATGGGCCACCTTATGGGCCTCGTCAATGTTACGTTCTTGGGCTTCATAAAGGAACCAGCTATTAAGCCCATACACCAACCCAATTTTAGCCAAGCTGCTAAATGTTCATAGTTTTCATTTTTTTTAAAAGATAACGAGAAAAAAAGAGGTTGTTGCCCCAAAAATAATACAATTTTGAAATGGCACATGGCCTAACAAATATATTAACCGAAAACAAGAAAATAACGAATAATTTTAAAAAAAATAGGAAGAGAAAAAATATTTTTAACAAGTATGCTTAAATTCGTAATGTGGGACTTCGATTTAGACTAATGAATATTTGGTACATTACATGATATTTAGTTAAAAATTTAAAAAACATGAATTAAAACAAAGAATAAGTTTGAAACTGAAAATAAATACACTTTAATTTATTTATTTATTTTTATAAAATAAAGCCGTTTTAATTTTGAGGTATGGCCTGATATAAAATGCTGTGCATTGTTATAAAAAAAAATGCTCTGCATTGACAATGGACCAATATTATAAAAGCCGGACCGATCTGGCCGGGTCGACCCGGAAACTGGTGAACTGATCATGTAACCGGTCTGATTTTCATATTGGACCGGTCATGTTACAGAACCGGTGCGACCCGGCCGATTTTCGCAAAAATCGATGATCCAGTCGGTTCAACCGGTGACCTGGCCTGGTTTGCAAAAAAAAAAAAAATTAATTTATTCTCATCAATTGATTTCTTCCTTTTTTTAACTTTCAAACACAAATGATTTGTTTTTTTTTTGAAATATTTGAGCGATTTGTAACTTATTAATTTACATGGATTATGTACTTACAACACTAATATTATCTTGGTTATGTAATATGTAGGAAATTTTGATTTGATTTATAGTTAGAAATGTCGTTTACTAAACCTGAAATATTAGTATAACAAATATTATATGTTTGATTACTTTTTTGTTGGACAATGATATGTAATTTATTTTTTTCGGGAGATGTTATAGGTATTACTTACTACCAATAAATTATACTACTCTAATTTATTAAGTCATACTTATTAATTAATTATTAATTTCTAATAAATTATAACCATTGGATTGGTAAAAATCAACAGTTAAGATTTGGTAGTAAGAGGTAGTAAGTAAAAGAGGTAGCAAATATAACCTTTCTCTTATTTTTCATATTAAAATATTTAAAATTGGTGTATTTTTTTACAGGTATTTAAGTATATTTATAATTTTTTTAATATAAATTATAAATTTATATATATTTATCGGATCATGCAATTGAACCAATAACCCACTAGTTAAACCAATAACCCAATACCTCGACCGGTTCGAGCCGAGTTTAATAACATTGCAATGCACAATATAAAAATATCTACACAGAGAGAATACGTTTTTTATGCTTCGTTGCTTGGATAAACCGATTATACTTTTATCAGTTACACTCCCTTGCACATATCCATATGCAAGCAAAGGGATATGTAACTTTGGTTGCATTTTATGTAGATGAGTTATAGGGAGATTGACCATTTTGTTACGTTTAGACAAAAAAAATTATCAGACTGTCATGTCAACAGTAAATTTTGTCAAAATGTCACGCGGCATAATTCGTTACACAGTGTAGCGAAATATGCTACGTCAGAACCAAAAATACCATATGTCAAATTTTGCAAAATTCGCTACATAAGGTAGCGAATTTTGCAAAATTTGACATGTGGCATTTTTAGTTCTGTACGTTCTGACGTGGCATATTTCGCTACACTGTGTAGCGAATTACTTGCATGCATAATTCGCTACACTGTGTAGCAAATTATACCGCATGACATTTTGACAAAATTTACTGTTGACGTGACAGTCTGGTAATTTTTTTGTCCAAACGTGACACTTTAATCACTGTTCCTGAGTTATATTATCCATGAGTTATATATCACCAAAAGAAAAGGGATATTGGCGCGGCGCATCGTAGCGTTCATATCCAACTTAACCTTATTTATTGAGTTTTGTCCATGTGACTCCAAATCAATGTTGAACCGAAAATGAGGCATGTCTTTTAAAAACGGAAGCTATAATAAGAATCCCCTATAGCATATTAGCATCCCTTGAAGGGTGAAACTGTACGAAGAATATGTTTGTTACGTATAAAACTCATTTTAGTCTTAAAAAAGGTCGATTGTTGTGACGAACAATCTCCTTCGTTGATGATTTACAAATATCAGTTTGAAATATAAATTATTTTGAGGTTTATGCTACGCTTTATTTAAAAATGTCACAACTTCCAATCTCTTTTAAAATTTTGTTAAAAAGATATACTTTCTTAATAACTTGATACACAAGCGAAATTACTATTATTTTATTTTGAACTGTATGTATCATTATATAATATGAAGTAATTAATTCTCTTATATATAGTTTTTCAAGCACTTGACGGTAAATATTCAAAAATCTTACTGCGTGTTTGGTACACGACTTTTTTAAGAAATCATGGGAAAGCTGAGACAGACAAATATGGTCACCATGTTTGGTACCTGATTTCATGAAAATTTCCTGGATTACAATTCATTCCAGGAAAATGTCTTCTTTGTTAATTCTGGCACAGAAAGCGAAATCAGATTTCCAAATAAAATAAAGAATTCTTGGCCTCCCGGGAAAGAGAAAACCAAAGTGGAAAAGAGGAAGACCAAAAATAACTCTATGAGCCTGTTTGGATCCTCTTATTTTTAAGCTAGAAGCTACTTATAAGTCAAAGCTAAAAAAAAAGCTAAAAGCTATTTGAAAATTACATAAAAATTTTAGCTTAAAAATTACTTAAAAGCACATATTTCAAGAAAATTATCTCTCTCTATCTTTATCACTCTTCATTTTAAAAAAAAGCACACAATTTAAGAAAAACAGATAAGAGCTTAAAAAAAAGCTCCTCTTAGGAGCTTTTAGTTTTCAGCTTTTTTCTTCACTATAAAAAAAAGAGCTTTTCATTATAAGAGTTTTTCTCAAAACTTGTTTGACCTAGCTTATGCTTATAAGTAGCTTCTAGCTTAAAAAAGAGAGGATCCAAACAAGCACTATGTTTTGAATGAAAGTGTAAAAGTGAGGTTATTTTGGTAAAATAACCTCACATTGTAAAATAACCTCACATTTTCACTATTGTTTCATAACCAACCAAACATAACTTAATAAAATTAATTTAATTTTTTTGGAAAAATTTGAGTCTATCAAATAACTTTTTAATAACATTCCAGTAAAATATATTTCTCCTATAACTTAATAACTTTTTGTTCCACACCAAAAAAAAAAAAAAGTTCTTAAATTGTTGTAGGTGGTAATAGTAGATAAGTAAGAAAAAAAGTAAAATATCAGAATGTGGACGACAATAAAAACAAAAATAGGATTGCAGAACAGTGACCCCTGCGTTCGTTTCAAGAGAAAGCATCCTAATCACACTCCACGTTGAATCTGAAATTACTCCCGCAGCGACACGTTTGTTGCCAACGCACATAAAAATGCTTTAGCCTTCAGGTGTTGGTGATTTAATTCCGGAAGCAATTCTTTCATCAACATGTGTCTACTAAGAAGTAAGAACAATTCAATAAAAAATAAAATAAAATTTAAGACAGTATTAAAATAACATAACAATAACTCTATTATATTTTTTTTATCATTATTATTTTTAAAACATATTAAATTTTCGATCGACTAAGGTAGTGACGGCCTTTCAATAGAGTCAAAGGTTCAAAATGGAACATCCAAAGGAAAGCTGCAACATAGGGTCAGGTCCCTTGTCTGTGTGTGCGCAAAGCGTCAAAGAGTTCTTGAAACGCACTAGTAGGCAATTGCTGCGCGTAAGCCATGCACCAATTAAGCTTCCACACTATTTCCTACCGTGTCTTTCCCTCCTTTTTCCATCTGTTCATGTTCCCCTCACCTCCTTCAACCTTAAAATACACATAAAAAACACACACACAACACAAAACACAAAACACAACACAAGAGTTGTTTCTTCTCTAAACAAACCCCATAATCACATTCTGTCCTGTCCTGTGAGAATGAAGAACCCTGTGGTGGAGAGTTTCTCTGAGTTTTACGAGAAGTGGGTTTGGAAGCTAGAGGAGATACTGAATCAGCTTCTTGAGGTACTGTCAAAGAAGAAAACAGAGATTCAGGTGATTAACGAACAAGAGTTGCAAAAACTCGTGTCCAGAGTCACATCACATTTGAAGGAATATTACACTGTGAAATGGGCTTCAGCACATGAAGACGTTCTTGTTTTCTTCTCACCAACTTGGTTGAGTCCTTTGGAGAATGCTTACCTGTGGGTGACAGGTTGGAAGCCCTCAACGGCTTTCAGGCTACTCGAATCTCTGAAGAAGGCGGAAAAAGAAGGGGGGAAAGCGTTTGAGATGACGGAGGAGCAAGAGAGGAAGATAGAGGAGCTGAGAATGAAGATAAGGATGGAGGAGGAGAAGGTGGAGAGGGAGATGGAGAGGCAGCAGGTGGCTATGGCTGATAGGAAGATGGTGGAGATGGCAAAGATTTCAAGCAGAGGAAGGAATAACGGTGATGTGGTGGCATCATCATCGCAGGTTGCTTTGAAAGGAGTATTTGGTGGCTTGGAGAAGGTTATGAAGGCTTCTGATTGTGTGAGACTCAAGACACTTAAAGGGGTGTTGGATTTGCTTACTCCAATGCAGTGTGTCCAGTTCTTGGCTGCAAATATTGCTATGCACCTTCGGCTCAGGCAATGGGGGAAGAACAGAGACGTGGCTGTGAACGAGGAAAATATTATAATGGGAAAAACATCTATCCTTTTAAAGGATATAAGCTGATATCTTTTTAAATCCTAATCTTGATTTTTGTTCATCAACTGTTATAATTTATTGGGTCAAACTTAATGGGTCAAAATTATTATTAATTAATTAATAATTTTGATCCAATAAATTATAACTGTTGATGGACGGAAATCAACGGTTAAGATCTAAAAGGATATAAACTTATATCTTTTAAAATGACTGATTTTATTCCAAAAAAAAGAAATATGTACACATTTTTAGGCTTTAGGCTTAATTAATTTAAGGTGTTCTTTCTCTGTTTCATCGTTAGGACAAAACAAAATGTTGTTTAGTTTATTTGCAGTAGTACTCTGTTGGCTTTAAATTTAGTTGCCTAAAAGTTCCTTGTTTTTATTTTTGGTATAACATGCTTCTCCGTTCACTTTATCTTCGGAGTACGGTGAAAGTGAATTAAATGGGTGTATTAAACTTTTTTATTGGAGGAAGGATGAGACTAATCTTCCTTCGAGAAGAGTAGTACGTCCTTTGACTCCCAAAGTTCTTTGTTTTAATGTAAATTAATTATCTCCAAAAAAAATGTGAATTAATGTATGATATGATTTCTTTCCCCGTAAAACATGGAATGATAGTAGTTATTTATACCAAAGGGTACTTCGCGCATGAAAACTGAACAATTGAGGGTGAAAGTTAAGTAGATGGAGTGAAAATATGTATTCAATTATTTTCAGTATCATTTTTGAAAGGGGATCAAAGCTTTAATATTAGATCTACCCGAATAGAATTAGTCATAAAACGATGAATTATTTTAAACAAAATAGTTATTTATGCTTTGAAGTAATGAAATTTTGTCTCTCACATTAAATTAATATGTATATTTTTTCCCACTCTTTTGATTAGTTTCATCAAAGAAAAAACATTATTTTATTATTTCTTATTTGATAAAATTAATCTCTATAATAAATAAAGGGAAAATATTTTTTCATGTTGCATGAGAATTTAATTATCATGTTGTGACCTTTCGATTAGCGTGCAAAGCTTTTTTTTTTAAATGTGGAATCCGCCACTAGTTGAGTCACAACATAAAAATTCAATTCTCATGCAACACGAGAAAATCAAACTCCAATGAATAAATAAAATGAGAAAAAATTGTGCCACTCGCTGAAACAATTTCCTTTTCTTTTCCGTCTTTTTCGCTGAGGAATTGTGAATCGTACAATTTTCAGTGAAACTCGTACAAAACTAATTCACCCATATCCTTTGTTTATTTTAAGGATAAATTGTGTGTCATTTTAAAAGAGGTAAAATTGTGTCTTTTTGAAAAAGAGAAAGAAATAGATAAAGGGAGAAAGAGAGTTAACAAAAAAATAAAGATATGAATTCCACTTTTTCGTGAGAGTGAAAAGATATAAGTTATGTCATTTTAAAGAAGGACAAACACATCTTAACGACCGAAAACAAAACACATCAACGTAACAACAACATAGCCCTTCCTTTACTTCCAAATCAACTTTTAACTCTATCAAACAAAGGCTTGAAAGAATCATATCATAAGTTGGTGGTGTCGGTGCATTACATCATCATGTGTAAGATGGTAAGATACACGTTTCAGGGCGCAAACATAAACCATCAGAAACGTAACAGAACAGAACCAGGTTTTATTCAGTTTCCAGAGTTTAAAAAAGAAAAAAGGAAAAAAAAAAGTCCCTGTCATGCTTCCGCATATGAGATTCACGAGAAAGCGACGGTTTAAAAGGGTTTCCCAAGGAAATGACGCTGTCATATGGATGTCATTCAGTGCAACTATAACCCCAACCACAACTTTTTCTCATTTCCTCCACTCTTTTATTATTGCTACTTCACCCATAGTTTTGTTGAGTGGTTTTGGAGGTTTAAAAAAATATAATTGACTCTATATTGAAGAGTGAATTCAACTTGCTTAATAATTGAGTATTGATATATGCACATACCAACCTTTTTCAATACAATTTTGGTCACCCTCATCCATTATTCTCTTCATTTCGGCATTTTCATCAAGGATGCATATTTTTCAACTTTTGAGTTGTGAGGGGCCCTTTTTTTTTTCCCAAGAAACATTAACCTTGATAATTCAATAGACCTATATAGAAGTTGCATGTTCATTGGGACCGATATCCCAACACCATGTTAGAATTTTTACATCCCGAACTTGAACAAAAATACAATTTACAACACCCCTCTTGCAAAACAACACAACACACTTTCACAGCTGGTACATGAATGGCCGATGTATTTAATGATGAAGACTTAGAAAAGAACAAGATAATGAAGGAAGAAAAGAATTTGGGCAGCAAATTATCATAACTTCCACTCTGGTAGCTTGATAGAGGTTAGAGAGAGACTTTGGCTTTAAAACACAGAAAAGAGAGTTAGATAGAACTTTAAGTGGCCTCCACTGACAAGATCTCTAGTTCAGCCCACCAGAGTGGAGAAAGTCTTGGGACAGCTTGCTCAGGTGACACACCAAGCACTTCCCTCAATTTGGAAGTTATGTCCCTCATTGTAGGTCTTAACCTTGGATCAGGTTGGATACAATCTTGTATCACCTCACAGATGACATCAAGTTCATTGTCCTTGAAAGACTGCAGGGTGGGATCTATCATATAGCTGATTTTTCTCTTGTCATTTAAGTAATCAGCAGCCTAGAAAAATTTGATGAGAATTTGTTTATTAAACAGTCAAGTAACAACGAAGTAGTTGCACTTAAAAAGTTAAAACTGAAAGGCCAAAGAAGATGTGTTTCAAACTTACCCAGTTCACAAGGTTGCCTTGTTCTTCAGAGTAAGGCAATTTCCCAGAAATGATTTCAAGCAACAATATTCCAAAGTCATAGACATTGGTTTCAAGATTAGCATGTGGTGGCAATTCAGATTTCTTTGAATCACCTCCGGTTTTCTTAGCTCGAGATACGTTTCCAAAAGTGATCTCTGCAATCTGAAAGAACAATGGAATGGAGAGATGCATTACATGGTGGCTAACAAATAATGAAAGCAAACAAGAAGAGAGAAGAGAAATGTGTACCTTAGCGGCAAAATCATCTGTTAAAAAGATCATACTTGAACTAAAGTTGCTATGAGCTACTGGTGTATTCAGATCATGGTGCATGTACTGAAGACAATAAGCAATGCCCATGATAATCCTCACCCTTTCACTCCAATCAAGACGTTCAATTTCCTTAACTGGAGAAAGAAGAAACAAAATTTACAGAACTTAGCCTTTTAGTTACAAGAACCCAGATTTGCTCTGTGCTAGGTAACAACAAAAACAAAGAGTAGTACCATGAAGATACTCAAATAGGTTTCCATTTGGAGCATACTCAAACACCAACATCCTTGTGAATGGCTCTTCTTCCTCACAGTACCCAATAAGATTAATAAAGTTCTTATGGTTTATGCGGGACAAAGTATCAATCTGAAGCATACAAGAAACAAAATTAGCAAAAGAAAAGTTTGAGAATTGTGAGCCCCTCTCCAAATTACACTGGGGCTGTTAATTCAATCCTTTTCTGTCTAATGACTTTGGAAGGAGAAAACCTTTTTCCGATAGTTCATCTCCATTTTCTTTGACCAATCTTGGGAAGAAGTAACCAGAGTGGACACAACAGCAATCTCCACTCCACTGGACAGTGTTCCTTTGTATAAGGTGCACAGTTCATAACTGGAAATGATATTGCTGAAGTCCTCACAGGCAGTCTCTAGTTCTGATCGATTCAACTTGGGGACCCCTATTTCATAAGAAGACGTGACATGACACTCATGTCAACATAGTAAGCTAACAGTAATTTATTCTTTTTGGTACACTGGAAATCGAAACTCATTAGACTTTAAACTTGTCATCAACCAAGATACCAACATACACATGATATTAATTGAAAGTCATTGATTGAGCTAATAACTCAAATAAGAAAACAGGTGTCAAGAACGTGGTGAAATCAATATTTCATCTGGCAGATGCACATTTTAGCCATGAAATAAGTTTCACAAGCACAGCCATATTTTACATATATGAACAAAAAAAACCCACACCAATTGATAAGAAAAAGAAGCAGAACATAATTGTTCAATAGCGTGTTCCACTGTGTTAAACTTAATACTTATAGATTGCATTCACTTATTGGAATTATTACCTGTTATAAATGCTTTCTGCAACTGTCCACTTATTCCTGTCCTCCAGGGGCTTATTACTTTTGCTGCTCGTTTTCGCCAAATGCAAAGTAGGACTATGATAACAATGACCAACACAGTCACAACTGCAATTATAATTATATACCTCCACAACTTTCCAGAATCACTATTAGCTGAATGTTGTTGACTCGCTTGATTTCCATCAGAAGCATGGGAAGGTGAAGGTGGAGGTGGAGGTGACTGATTTTGTTTCTTATTGGCATCTGGCACGGCAGGGAAAGCTCCACTACTCAGTGTAGTTGGAACAGAACTAAACTCTATAGTAGGTCCACTGTAAGGTGCTGCTGCCAGGTTACTGGACTGATCAAGTAGCTTACGACGTGCAGAATTGACAAGATTAGGTGCATTCTGAGCAATTTCTGGCTCATTAGAACCTACATGATGCAAGATATGTTTTGAATGTCAATCAGAAGAAAATATTTCAATTGCTCAACAGGCCATGATTTAGTGAAGATTTTCCACTCACTAGGCAGAAGGTCACAGCAATTCTCTTCAAGATCATGAGGAGCATGAGTTCCTAGATTGAACCTACAAAAAAGAGTAGAAAAATTTAGTAAGTTGAACATGATGAAAGAGGAAAATATATGTGCATTTTGAGATTAAGATGGGGCTAAAAGTTGTCTACACACAGTGGCAGCGCAAAGGCATTGAGGTATTTCATAAGTGCTGTTTTAATTAAAGTTGATGTGTTGTTCCATTGCTTGAAGTTGCTCTGCCATACACTGCACATGCCATCCATTAAAAGTTCAGACAGTTACAAACTAATGATCATCTACATAATTTGTTAACAATAAAAGATGCAACAAATTAAGACAAGCACACAATCCAATGGGATGAGACAGTCGAACAGTTAGGTTCTGCAAAAGTGACTTCCTTCTACATTTAAGTGAAACAGATGGAAGGAAAGCATGCAATTGAACTACTAAGGTAACTTGGTCAGGGAGAAAAAAATGAAGATATGTTTACCAGTGACCAAACTTTCTATTGATACAAGCAACTAAAGTTGTCAGAGTTGATGAACAATTGTCAACAAGTAGCGATTTATATGGAAATCTGAATTTTCCTTGATCTTGAGAATTACCGCCTTCAATTTTATTGTCACAAAGCAACCTAGGGTGAAATAAAATTTCATTGAAGAACACTCAGAAATGTAACAAAAAAGACACATAAAATATTAACTTACAAGTGTTTTAGTAATAACAACCTGCCAATTTCTGCTGGAATGCTTCCTGACAAGTTATTCTCCCTTAAATCCAATAACTCCAGGTTGGCTAGATCTCCAAGTTCTTTGGGAATGGCACCAGAAAAGTTATTTTTGCTTAACACACTATTTCAAGGAAACAGAGCAAGCATATCCGAATCAGAAAAGTGGTAAAGTATAAACTACTAACGTACTTCTACTACTAAAACATGGCATATAAAGTACTGCATTTTAGTAGAAAAATATAAACTTCATGGGAAAATGCCTCTAACTCTAATTTAGCCTCTAATAAATGGAGTAATATCAATATGGGGTAATAGCATATAGGGAACTAAGCTAATCAAACAGAAAGGCTTCATAATAATCTGTCCTACAAAAGACGAGTAACCCTCTTGAACTTCAGATGTTTTCAAATTACATATTATTATGATACTAACATAGTAAACTAATCCAGGAGAGCAAAGTAACTGTATTTTTTTGGAGTTGAAAACATAAAAAAAGGTAGCTACCTAAGTTTTAGGATGATTGGAGAGAGAAAGATGGTATAATGCAGGCTTGGAGAATTAATTCGCCACAACCACTTGTAACTTGCAAGTATCAAAATTTGGTAACTATAGCACAGTTGATCGTGCCAAAATCATCCCTTCATGATCTAGTTAATAGGAGGGACAAAAAATAGTGGCAACACATTCTGGTTTTCTACTATAAACTCAGTTTTTTGTCAACCAAAAAAAACTTGGTTTCTTGACATCAACGTTGTCAATGTAATTAGATTCATGCAGGACAAAAAAATATTCCTTCTGTCTAAAAGCATAGCAGAGTCCAAAGCCGAATGATTATTTTAGTTTAAGAACAGGTAATGGGAAGGACATCACATGATGAAAGGAGAATAGGAATCTGCCAGCACAACGCATAATCTATCTTCCGGGGATAATTACAAGTATTTTTCGTGCATATCATGATTATTATCAGTACTTCAGAAACATGCCTGTATGTCAGATACATAGATAGCTCTCAGATTATCATATTCTTATCGGATGATAACCAATGAGAGCTTTCATTGTTTCCAGTTTATATTGATCAAAATCAGGATAAGTTGGTGTTATAACGAACATCAGGAATGTGAATATAATTTGGGAGTCCCCTTAATGAACCAACAAGCATAAGAAAAACTTTGATATCAAATGAAAAGAAAAACTAAGTTATAGCAAACAATACAAGGGAAAGCCGTGAAGATTTCTTACAGAGATTTTAAGTGACTAAGCTTCCCAAGCTCAGGAGCCAATGTCCCTTCCAAAGATAGGCCACTTAGGTCCCTGCAAGAAGGTAACAGGAAGGCATAAAATTCAGCACTGAATTCTGCACCACATTAATCACAATTGTAACTTCCTCTAAACATCAAGAAATAAAGGTTTATGCCCTCCCTAAAAGAAAAAATACTGCATCATTGGAATACTCTAAAGAAAGGAAAGGAATTACCAAAGGAACTTACAGTATTTGCACTTTACCATCGACACAATGAACACCCAACCACTTGCAGGGGTCACAATCATTTGGGTTCCAATTTGCCAAAGCATCATAAGGATCAGAAGTTATTCTAGCCCGGAACTCCAACAAAGCCAATCCTGCATTTTCCATTCCAGATGGAACCAAAAGAAAAAACCTCTAAGATACAAGAAATAGATTACATGCTTCCCTAGGAATGGAAAGTTAAAAGAGCAATCCATGAATACCACCTTCATCATTAAGCGACCAACACTCTCGGATTCCCCACACAGAAATCAAGGAAACATAAATTCTAAGCAAAAATCCAAATGTGTTCCATCTCATTCCCATTTCTTTGTGAATCCAATGTCAGTGTGATCGAGGCAGTATCTATATTCCCTGACAGCCAGAACGCTGTATTATATAATATCCAAAATCGCCAGATTTTTGCTGTACAGAGAAGAGAAACCCTTCAATCTATTCCGATGAAACTGAAGAAACTCACTAACTAGGCAAAACTTTTATTACAATGGCAAACATGAAAATTGAAGCTCTTGGGTCCGAAGATCAGATCAGGGTCCCTCATTTTTTATAAGGTTATCTCTTTGTTACAACCTTCTGCTTAACAAAGGCATAACCTGGCTCAACTCAATATCTTCCTCTCAACTATCCTCAGCAATATAGGTAGAGCTGAAACAAATTGCACCCACAATAAGAAAAATTAACAAAATGAATGTATTTCATTAAGATTGAGAAAGATGAAAACCAAACAACATCATGACAATGAGATTAAAAAAAAAGAAAAGGGAATAACCCAATCAGCAAGCAAGCATTCTGGTGTCCACGTGAACAATAAAAAAGCAAAAAAAGTAGGCGTGTGTGCGTGCGTAGGAAAGCATTAAGCATTGATAGAGACCGTGAATTACCATACCATGCAGAAGGGACAAAAGGGTGCAAGAAAGGAACAATCTTTCTTGCAGTTATTTGCTTGAATTAAGTAAACAATGCAGATTAAGGGTAGAGGGGGGTGATAGGTGGGGACAATTTGAGACCCAGGCAAAAAAGGCAGCAAAAGTTTGAAATTAACAAATTTTCAATTTTTTTTTTTCTCTCCCTTTTTTTATTTTAATAATGGTGTGTTTCTATTGCTGCCTTTTTCAGGATGATCTCAGAGGACCCTCTCTTCGACCATCTTCATCATGAGGCTCTTTCTTCCTTTCTCTCTCTGGTTTCTATGTCTATGTCTTTCTGGTTTCTCTCTCTCTCTGTGTCTTCCTAATTGTTGTTTTTTTTTTTTTTTCTCTTTCTTTCTTTGTTTCTCTGTCTTGTTTCTCAGTTTCTCTCTCTTCCCCCCTCTTCCCTCTCTCTCATCACCCCCACCATCAGCCACAGCCAGCCACCCAAAAATTTCCGTTTTTGCATTTTTAATTATTAATTATTTTAATTTATTTTTTTCAATGTTTCTAAAATTCTCTTCGAGGAGTTGTAGGTCCCGTTGGCCCCCACTTCCGACAATGTAGGACGCGCTTTTGTTTTGTTACTAGGTAAGTCTCCCCTGGTTCGTGGCACCACAACATCCATTGCTTTATAAAACTGCATTTTCCAGCTCTTTTTTTCTGTTTCATGATTTGGTTAGATTGTCTACGTGATTCCCACACAGCCAACCCTACCACTCTTTTTTTTCTTTTTCTAAAGCAACACTTTCTGTAAAGATAATTACTAAAATATACGTTAACATAATCATACTACTTATTTTATTTTTAATTGCAATAATCAATACTTTAAAGCCGTCACTGAAGTTGCCAAGGTACTATACTAGTGTGTACTGTGTCGCTATGATGCATCCACACGGGAACATGATATTTCAATAGGTTAATTTAAAAAAAAATGTTAGATTTTGATATTTTAGAATATGTTTTAATATTAAATAATATTTTTAATTTACGTAATGTATATTATATTAATAATTTTTAAAAAATAAATTAAATATATAATATCCATAAATTTTATAAAGAAACATAAGATATCACGAATATTTATATTAAACTGAATAAAATGATAACCGTAATTCAATAAATCTAATAGTTGAAACTAAAAATGCAACACAATATAACTTTTGAAATTCTTTTTAGTCTCTACAACATATGCCAGAGTATCGAAATATCAAAAAGTATCAAATACCACACTTAAAATCTTTTAAAATATCGGTAGTTCATACATGTGTAGCACACTTGCCCCTATATTTTTATTTGAGAAGTCAATTAGAAATGTCATATCAGTATCACCCTACGATTAATGGACTCCAACTTAGAATTTTTTTTCGAAATTTAGAACCAATGATGTGGAAATTTTTTGTACGGGTTACTTTGCTGCAGTTTATTTTTGCTGCTCTATGGATCAGACTTGTGAAGATGGAGTTTAGCAAAAGTTCTAACTAAAATCCGTTTAACTAGATGGAGTTTTATATATATCTATATATATATATATATATATATATATATATATATAAATTAGGATATTTTTACTACCCATTTTTTCTACTATTATTTCACTACCACTCTAATCACCATTGGATTAGAGAAAAAGTTAGATAAAAAGAGAGAAAAAAAAACTTTTGAATCCAATGGTGATTCAAGTGATAGTAAAATGGTAGTAGAAAAAATAAATAGTAAGAATATCTTACTTCTATATATATATATATATATAGGTCAAGATTCTCAACAATATGTTTACCTTATCAGTTCGTGGACTAGCTTATTGAACTTTTAACAAATTTAGATATGACTAGTTTATAAGCTCCTTCAACCCATTTTAAGTGTAAATTAGTCTATTCTTCCCTCTATTTGCTTGATTTTCCACATACTCGCTCTATTATTTTTTTTCTTGGGAAAATCTCTATTTTCAAAACCTAGACTTAAGTTAAAACCAGTTTACTCATTTTGTTAGGAATATCTTACTTAAATTACGAAAACCCCAAATTACTCGTTCTTCATTATGAACATGGTAATCAATTATTAGCATGGAAGCATGTTTCTAAACTGCTGAGAAAAAAACTTGATAATTGATTATAGAACCTGAAATTGAATACTTCGTTCAAAATGTAGATACGAAACTCTGTGAAATCCCTTTGTATTATTCCAAGTTCCAACTACAATCAATCAAATATTAGTAAAATTTGTGTATCAGAAAAAAATTAGTAGAATTATCTAAAAAAACGATTAGTTGAATTTGACTTCTCGATAGATGAGCACTTAAGGGCCCGACTAGTGCTTCCACGGTTCACATTCGTACATATTAATTGATTTATAAACATATCGTCTTTCTTGACAGCGAAATATTACTTAACTTGGGTTCAAGAAGAAAAGCCAATATAGATTATGGATAAAACTCCTGCAAAATACGTTTATTTGTAAAGTATATAAGTAATGTTATATTCATTCTTAATTTAAAATATATAGGGGTCTTAATTTACTAAAACTCAAGTTTAGATATACATTATAGACAAGTAAGTTTCAAAAGACTTTTTTTCATATGTCATTCACAATCTTCGTTCTAGGAGCAAAATCATACCAGGAAATGCAATTTAATTCAATTGACGAAGATTCTTTATTAGTTGAGAGAAAAGGTACTGAAAAAATATAACTGAATATTCATCTTCATTCAAGTGAGTAAAAAGTACAAGGGAACGTTCTACTTATAACAAGGAAAAATAACAGAATGCTAAAAAAGGTGCTCAGCACATGCATGAGCCAGCCTGGTACCAAAGAGCACCAGATTAGTTACAACAGCAAAGTTAAAAATAAGAAAATAACAAATAAAGGAAAATACAATATTAATAGCCCCCCTCAAGATGGAGAGTATATGTTTAAAACTCCCATCTTGGACAACAGAGCAGAAAACTTAGAAGGAAGAAGAGGCTTAGTGAATAAATCAGCAAGTTGCTTGGAGGAAGAAACTGGGAAAGTCTTCAAATGACCCTTAAGGATGTGCTCTCGAACGAGGTGACAATCAATTTCAATATGCTTCGTGCGTTCATGGAAAACCGGATTGGCAGCCAGATGAAGAGCAGAAAGATTGTCACAAAAAAGATGAGCAGGTCCATGATGAAGAATACAAAAATCCCGAAGCAGAGAAAACAGCCATAGCAACTCACAGGTGACATGTGCCATTGAACGATACTCGGCCTCTGTAGAAGAACGAGATACAGTTGACTGCTTTTTAGACTTCCAAGAAACAAGGGAATCACCAATGAAGACACAGTAGCCGGAAATGGACCGACGGCTATCCGGGCAAGAAGCCCAATCAGAATCACAAAAAGCATTGAGCTGTATAGAAGAGGTAGAAGAAAAGAACAGGCCTTGTCCAACAGTGAGCTTAATGTAACCAAGTAACCGGTGTGCAGCTTGAAGATGAGGCACACGTGGAGAGGCCATGAACTGACTTAGATGAGTCACGGCATAAGAAAGGTCAGGTCTTGTAATTGTGAGGTAAATCAGTCTTCCAATCAGCCTTCGATAGATGGAAGGATCTGAAAGAAGCTCACCAGTATTGATGGAAAGTTTGAGACCAGCATCCATTGGAGTAGTCCTTGGCTTGCATCCCAGTTGGCCAGAATCCTTAAGAATTTGCAAGGCATAATGACGTTGGCAAACAGAAATGCCTGTTGTATTGCGAGCCACTTCAAGACCCAAAAAATATTTCAAACAACCAAGATTTTTTAATTGGAACCTGCTGTTAAGAAGCTCAGTAACCTGTTGCACTTCATTAGAATTGTTAGAGGCAACTATTATGTCATCTACATAAACTAAAATAGCAGTAAATGAAGTTGATGTAGAATGAACAAATAGAGAGTGATCAGATTGAGACTGAATAAAACCAAGGTCCAGTAAAGTAGAAGAAAACTTCGCAAACCATTGGCGGGAAGCTTGGCGAAGACCATATAAAGATTTATGGAGCCTGCAAACAGCATTGGGAGGCATAGAAGTGAGCTTCGAAGAATAACCAGGAGGAATGGTCATGTAAACCTCCTCAAGCAAATCCCCGTGGAGGAATGCATTATTTACATCAAGCTGAACAAGAGTCCAATTATGGACAGCAGCAAGAGCAAGTAAAACCCGCACAGTCGTCAGTTTTGCAACTGGAGAAAAAGTATCCAAAAAATCCACACCTTCCTGTTGGGTATACCCCTTAGCTACTAAACGAGCCTTATACCTTTCCAAAGAGCCATCCGAATTATATTTCACTTTGTAAACCCAGCGGCAGCCAACAGCATTCATGCCAGGAGGAAGAGAAACTACTGTCCAAGTGTGGTTATGCTCAAGGGCTGATAATTCAGAATTCATAGCAAGCTG